CAATCTGAGCCAGAAAATGTATTAGCCTGAAGGCTGGGTTCTTTTGATCATGGTAGACACAATTCTGCCAGCCTGTAGCTCCCAACTCTATGAAGCAAGACTCTTTCTGTTTGATCATTGAGTCTGGCCTATGTTTTGAAAACACAGGTTGTGACCTACTAGCAGGTCATGATATCAACTTAATGCATCATAACTACCACTTCTTAAAATGACATTAAAAAGTGTTAGAATACATCAGACTAGTGAGGCAAGTGCTGTTAAATGAAATTTACTTTTTAGAAATCATATGTAGATGTCTGTAAATATAGGGTGGTAATGAAAAGTGTACCTTTTACTTTGGATCATGATAAAAAGAGGTTGCAAGCCACTAGTCCAACAACATTAAAATTCTGTGGAATGGGAAATGGTATAACCTTTGTTGACAATACAAATGTCATTTTCATACATGATCCCAAAGAAACAATCACAGGTATGCCAAAAAAAGGTCCTAAATATTTTGATAATGTCATTTACAACAGTAAAAAACTTTTGACATAAACTAAGGGGTTGATTGAATAAATTAGGGCACATCTACATGATACAACTTTACTGAAAAACCGTGACCTGAAGGCATCCACATCAACTCTGACGTTGAAGGGAAAGGCTAGAATATGTTGACGCACACACACGCACTTCATAGAAAGAATCATCACTGTCATCTCTGGGAAGTGTAAATGTGGACATAGTTAATTCTTTGTATTATTCTGTTTTTTTTTTTTTAATCTACAAATTACTATTGTGATTAGTAAACAGTATGATAAGTGTGATTTCAAATATGCTTTACTGAGCAAAGAAGCTGGTCTGCACAGATACTGCTCACTTTTAGCAACATTAACAAACATTAAAGTTAGCAGTCAAGAAAAACAGGCCAGATGTTTAGGGTACAAGCAAAAATTAGGTGTCACATGTACTCATATCTTAAAAATAGTACAACGAATTTCCATCCTAACCCTCCTCTCAAGTCCCAGTCTACGATGTCAAGATGGACATGTACAGATTTTAGAGCTAATAAATATCACCACCGTTCTGAATATGAGTAGCTTATAGGAAATGCCAGTGTTGCCCAAAAAAAGTAACAATAAAGTCAGTATTTAAAAAAAACTGTTAAAGAAAAATAATAATAATAATAAAAAGGCAAGATAAAACAAAAAGGAAGCCCAGGTTTGTAGATTAGTTCCAAGTTGTAAGGGTGGGAAAGAAAAATGAATGTATAGGGTGTTCATTCAGTCAATCAGTCAGTCTGTCCACATCCCATCTGCCATCACTCAAACTGTCCATCATCCCATCTGTCCACCTGTCCATCTGCTCATCCGTCTGTCAATCGGCCAATTGGTCAGTCAACAGTTGCTGACTGATAGGACACAATGTCATTAGAAGGCTATAGTGATCAAAGACTTACACTCTGATTTTCTGCCACCCCACCTGAAGTCTCATGCTCACCCTTTATCTGTCATGAGAAGGACCCTGCTTGGGGCTCTTCCCCCAGATCTCACCAAGTCCTCGCAGGCTAGAGGTTGCACAGCACCTGCCACACCATGCTGGGTTCCCCATCCCCCTTTATGAAGGCCAGCAAGTTAAACAGAGTGGGTAAGAGCTTCCTCTCCAAATCCCAGCTCAGGTACATCACAGAGACGCCAACTGCCAGGTCCACAGGCGGTGTCTGACATTCATGGACTCATAGAACTTAACCCTCACAGCCACTACAAAGTAAAACTTGCTAGCCTCATTTTATAGATGGGAAAAAGGAAGTAAGAGAAGAGAACAACTTGCCAAGGTCACACCCGAGGTTGCTGGCCCCAAAGACAGTAACTGTGTTGAAATACATATCTTGGAGGCTAAGCCTTCAACCTTGAAAGTGATTTTCAGTGTCATCTCAGCAGCCCCGAGCTCAAGTCTACACCTCTCCACTTTTGTTGACTGCCTTCTTGATGATGAACCAAAAACAGTAAGAAGATGCTCATGGTTTTCTTTCAATAAGTACTAGTGTTTCTACAAGTAGCGCTAAGGCAAGGCTGAAGGGAGGAACACAGTCGGAAAACAGGGCCCTCTACACCCAGCTGGTAAGAGGCTCCTGGGAACCAAAGGCTTGTAAGGCGGCAGGTGTTGGTGGGGGGTAGGGCTGACATCTACCTGGAAAACAGGCCCCACAGCCTCAGGTCCTGTGCACAGCATGGCGATGGAGGGCTCCCCTCCGCACCGTGGGAGGCACTGGGCAAGAAGGAACACAACCAGACAGGGTCCCTGGAAAGCAGGGTGGGGCCAAGAACGACTACTGGGACATGCCTGCCAGACCTCTGACTGCCCCAAGAGAACATGGAGCTCTGGGGCCAGGTGTAAGGACGGAGCGTCATGAAGGCCAAGCAGAGTGCAGGAGGACTGCAGGTAGGAAAGACGAAGGCTCAGGGGCAGGAGTCCATTGGACAGGCCAGTCCATGAAATGCGTCAAAGGGAATGGTGAAGGAGAAAGACTAGATCAGAAGAACACACTGGTTTTGAGGAGAACCCGGGGGAGTCACCTATCAAGGCTACAGTATGACGGTTTGTTCAGAACCAGCAGCGTCCCGACTCTGAGCTGGCTGTCTCTGAGAGGGGTCACTTCCATTCTCTCCTCTCACCTGCTGAGCTAAACCTTCTAGGTCTAACTTGGAATATCTGAGTTCTGCTCCAAGCCGCTGCCAGCAAAGTCTTGCTTAAAGAAGCAGCCACCTCCTCCCTGGGGAGGCAAGTGGAAACAAGGGGTAGAGGCCTCCCAATTTGTCAGTTCTTGAGGGGAAGTGACCACGAGCCCATGGCCCGGACTGCCACGGAAGACCTCAGCACCCAGTGCCAGCTGTCGCTTAACATCCTCTCTCCTTCTTTCCATGTAGACTCCCAACAGCACCCCACAGCACACTGCAATCATGCTCACCACCATGGACACAGTGCACACCTGGCTGACCCAGGCCACCCTTCATCAAGAGCACATGTGGGCCAAGCCACCTGGGGATAAATGATCACACGGAGGCACAGCTCAGGTGGGAGAACCTCATGCATTGCTTGCTGTGGTGGTCCAGTCCCTCCTGGTCCCTCACCTCTCCAAGGGCCCCAGGCTCTCATGCAGAGAGGTAGAGTGTTCAGCTTTCCAGAAATGCCCCTTTGTTTCCTGTAGCTGCCCTTGACTTGCTCTTGACCCTCTTTTCACTGAGGCTAGATTTTTTTCCATCTCTCCTTCGGGATCAGAGCTGCTGTTTTTATGCAAATAGTCAATCAAGTTCAGGGTTAAACTCAGGAAAAGGGGCCAAAAGGGAGTCACTCCTCCTTCCCTTTTCCTCTGGGAGGGGTCATCTAGAGGCCCCCTGCAGTGCCTGCACGCAGCATGCATGCTGATAAAGTGATGCAGTCCCGGGGGTCACCAAAGCAGAGCTGCCGTCCCTTCCCAGAGGCCACTCTGCAGCCTGGCAGTCATAGACCACCATGCCAGCACTCTGCCAGGCCTGCTCTCAGAGACCCCATTCGGGATGCCTTCTCACCTGCTTTGGGTCCCCACAAGGGTGTAGACCCCTGCATCCGCATCAGACAGACCTCTCTGTCCTTGGCGTCTGGGGAATCACAGATGTCAGTTTTTCTCAGAGACGCCCTCAACTCTCCCAAGATGTGCATTTCTCATCCCTTGTACCCCTCACCCCACAAGCTAGTATGAGGTGGGGGCTGGGAATAGACTGTGCAGTCCCTCTGTGCCTGACACACCCTTATCTGCCTCAGAGCCCATTGGAGTCATTTCTGGCATTCTCCCCAAGGGAGCAGAACGCCGAGGCAGAGCTTTGATCATCTGGCCCTCACTGGCCCTCCCCATGGTGGCAAGCAGCCCATCACAAAGTTGAATAATATTTATTATGCCCCCAAGGGCTAGGCACTGTGAGACACGCGCCTCATGACCAAGGTTGTGCAGCAGCCTCGGGCATCTGTGAGGTGGATACGCACAGATGACAACGTTTGTATTGTCATACGCCAGGACCGCGGGGCTGCGGCCGGCCCATGTGCCCTCCCCCCACCCCCTGCCCAGACTCACCATGCCAAGACAGCAGGGCGGGGGCGGGCCCATGTGCCCCCTCCACCCCCATCCCCCTGCCCGACTCCCCAAGCTAGGATAGCGGGTCTATGGCCAGCTCATGTGCCCCCCTGCCCCGTTTCCCCACCCGGACTCACCATGCCAAGACAGCGGGGCTGCAGCAGGCCCATGTGCCCCCTTGACCCGTCCCACCACCCGGACTCCCCATGCCAGGACAGTGGGGCT